CTGAGCAGTCTATGGGGGGTCATCCCAGCTGGGTATGAGTTGCTGCAATCCAGCTTATTTGGAAAGGATTTATACAGAAAGGATGTTTTTTCTATGCAGTTTTAGCTTCTTCATGTTCCCTCCTACAGAGGCTATCTAGACTTGAAGGACAACGTTAACAAATGCTGAATCCACCCATCAGTTTTAACTAGGTCTGTAACCTCGTACAGACTCGAGACACACTGGCAGTCATTAACAACATGCAGCCCAAGATAGTTTTAATTACATGACCACATACTCTTTTTTGCAGGGTACAGCTGTTTCAAATGCCACACGGGATGAATAGTGCTAATGTAATAACCAGCAGTTCAATGCCTTGTTTTCTCTATGTTCTTTGAAATGCAGCTCTGTTGAGGATTTCTTGGCTGGGCGAAGGCATGTGAGCAATCCAGCCGTTATGGGGGAACGAAGCGTAAGTTTACAAAATACTGGAGCAGACAAGGATGCTGTGTCCTTGTACGCTGGGAAAAAGGAAGATAAGAAGAGCCTGACAAACAACACCTGGATGCTGAAGAATGAGATCAGTAACTGCTGGACACCACGTGAAGAAGTTTGCACAGCCAACAGAGAATAAGATAGTGTCGCCTGAAACGGCGTATCGTACCAATTAGAGTATTGTATAAGGCGCGTGGACATAGAAGCTTAGCCAATAATAACGTTATAGCTAGCGCGTGCCATCACCTTTTTTCTGTATAAACCCTGTAAAACCCTGTAATAAAAGGAGAACGACCATACTCATATTGAGACTCCATCGTTACTCCGGGACTGTCTCCCACTCTGACACAGCTCTGTGTACCAGACACGGGTAAAATCCTAAATGTTGAAGATATTTCATGGAATTTATTTCTACTGCACGTGAGTGTTTTAAATTTTAACTTGCCTTCCCATAATCCACATAAGTAAATGACGTTTTTGCTTAAATTGTGAACTGAAATTAAGGCAAAGCCGTTTTAATAATCTTGGATGTGCAACCAAAAGTAATGCAGACCTAAATTTTAACATATCTGACATACTACAGCACCTCGTGTAGGCAAATCATAGCTTCCATCTATTTCAGATGTAACTACTCACACTTCCTATTTCTGCAAAATGAACTCAAAAACCTTACTGGACCTTCAACAAGCAATAAATGAACAGGTCTAAAACACTGGGCTTAAGCAACATATCTGTATCCATCTAGGAATGCTCTAGCATTAGGAGGGATAGAAGACTGAAGAAGAAAACAGACACAGATTTTGAAAAAGAAGCAAAACACTCCATTTGATTAGGTACAACAGTAAGCATGCAGATTAGTATTTTTGCTAGTATGAGCCTATTACTGGTATTACTGTAGATCACAGAAGCCTGTGAAGACACCAGAAGTCCACAGTCCTACATGCAAACAAAAGATAAAAGCCCAGCTTGCAGCGACTGACTATCTACCACACACTACCTCTGTTTCCTCTTCGCTGCTGATATTTGGCTGATATTGCAGACCTCCGCTTTCAACCTGCTACCTCTTCGTAATATGAAGAGCTTCAAATCTATGGTCAATAGTTCTTTGCTGGTCAAGCATCTCCAAAACCACTCCCCCGCCACCCCTTGTTCTGATAAATTTTTCCTCCTTACATCCTTCCCTGGACCTGCAATTGTAAATGGCTGTGTCAAGATCACAGGGTGCTTTTTTAGGTGTACTGCTCATGCAGGCTGCCCCTGAAACTTGTTCCTGACTCCTACATTCTACCAGTTCATTTTTCTTGTTGTTAGGGGGGTTTGGTTGTTTTGGGTGTTTTTCTGGTGGGAGCTGCAGGAGGTGGAGAATGATAGCGAATCAGATTAAGACCCCAACAAAAACCACTACTTTTAACTTCAATCAGTCCTAACCAGGTTCACTTTGCAATTTAGCTAGAGACGGCATGAACTTTGAGTGAGAGGACAGGTTTGCTTACATGAGTACTGTTACCTGAAAACGTTCATTAAATGATTTCCAACCCTGACTTCCTCAGTTTTGCTCAGATAATAGTCAGAGCTGATGGGCTAGATAGACCTCAGTCACAGCACTGTCGTACGGCATCCCAAATGTCTCATCAAAAGACAGACATCTAAGCACCGCTTTTTTCCAACGTGGGAAGTACAGGGAAAATACTGGCTCAATCAAGAGGTTCAAAATACCAAACACGATTTGTAAAATTTAAGTAGACAAGTTCTCCAATACATTATAGTATCTTCTGCAGTGAAGAGGGAAAATATTTCACTTATTCCTTCCTTGGATGTTGCAGAAGACCATTGAGAACAGAACACACAAGCTTGCTGCTTTCGGTCGTAACAAAGAGAGCAGCTGGGAGCAACCTGGATGAGAAATGTTTTATCTTCTCCCATGGCTCTACTTCAATGGATGCGGCCATCAGTCGTGACCAGGAGCTAAGAGGGGGTGGAACATTTTGGCCGCACGCATGGTATGTGGCCTCTCTGGGTCGTCCTCGGGACAGAGAACAGCTCACAGCCTTCCTGCGCGGACAGAGCCGAGAGAGGTGGAAACCTCCACTGAGCATCTGCGTTAACGCGGGTTATCGGCAGTCATTTGACCAAACCTGTAAAGATTTTCAAGGGAGCGAGACGACGCACCCCTGAGATGAAGCTCAACGCGCTTGCTCTTGCTGTGCCGGAGTTTCGGAGTTTTAGCGTAGGCCGAACACGATGCCATCCTCGCCTATTTCCGAAGACGCCCCAGACACCTGCCGCGAAACGCTTCATCCCGCCTCATTCCTTTACCCAAATTCCCATCCAAACGCCAACTGGGGAGCGGGCCCCCCGCCCTTCCCGCCCTGGGGACACGTGCCCTCCGAGCAGCAGCCCCAGCTCTGGATACCGTTACCCGCCCGGTCCGTGTCAGCGGTGCCCTGGCGGGATTCGCCGACCCAAGGCCTCACCGGGAAACTCCAGCCCCCCCCCCCAACAAGGCGTTTTTTCAGGGAACGGGGCGAGTAGGCCAAGGCCGAGGCCGAGCGCCGCCACCGCCGCCCTTCTCGCTCCACTTCCGGGTTCCCCGCCGCGCCCCCGGGCGCTGACGTCACGGCGCGCGGACCCCGGAAGTGGCAGCCG